GCCATGGCGTGGCCGCTCTGCGCTGGGGCAGCCCTGGCAGGTGGCTGCATGGCGGGCTGAAGGGCTGTGGGGAGCCCTGCGCTGGGATAGCCGAGGGGGTGGGGCTGGGCTGGGCTTGCTTGGCTCCCGCCTTCTGCCCTGTGACCAGCCAGGGCCCTCAAGCAGGCTTCCCTGGGGGCTGGGCTGAAGGGCTGTGGGGAGCCCTGCGCTGGGATAGCCGAGGGGGTGGGGCTGGGCTGGGCTTGCTTGGCTCCCGCCTTCTGCCCTGTGACCAGCCAGGGCCCTCAAGCAGGCTTCCCTGGGGGCTGGGCACGTGGGCGGCTGCTCAGGGGATTCCATGCTGCTCATCAGCAGGGTGCCCATAGCTAGGTTCGTGTTTCTCCTGGCGGTGCACATCCCCACAGGCCTCGGTGCAAATAGCAACATTATTCCGCCCCTGGATGGAAGAGAACACTGCCCCGCCTGCTGTCAGCTGCTCGGCTCAGGTCACCCTTTTCTGTGAGCAGACCTGCGGAGCTAATGAGCGGCCAGAGCCCTGAGCCCTGTTGAGTGCAGGGGTCACGGACCTCGATCCACAGCTCTCCGTGCTGCACTGGCTGGGCCCTCCCCCCGGGGCGGGGATGGGGCAGCTCCCAGGGACCGCAGGCCTGGCCGCTCCAACACGTACGTATCTCTCACGTGTCTCGTCAGGGAAGGGCAGCGTGCGGGAGAACGGCTGCTTATAGACCTCCAGGCCCAGGTTCCACATGGTCTTCTCCAGCCAGGCCACAGGGATGCCCCTGGAAAAGGAGACAGGAAGAGTGAGGGGCTGGAATGGAGCCCTCTTGCCTGGAAGGGGACTGGCTGCACTAGAGCCCAGCAAAGCCCAGATCCCGGGCCCATGCGGTGCCTGCTTCTCACACCATGGGCCAGACACGCCCGGAGCCTCCCCGCAGTGCCACTGCCCTGCCTTCCGCACTCAGATACCCCAGCAGAGCCGCAAGGAGGCTCCTCCATTAGCACCTAGAGCCGGGCAACTCAGCACGCGGCCCACGGGCACTTTGGGTTTACGCGGGGCTCATCACGTGGCCCGGGAGTGGGACCCTCTGAACGCGGCCTCCACAGGGAGCACAGCGCTGAGTCAGCGTAAAGGTCTCCCGCTGAGCTGCGCGTTAGTAGTTCCATTCCCGGGCTGCCATTGCTCGCTGAAAGTGCTGCCCTGTGCCTGGGAATCGGGTTGATGTTGCATTGCAGAGCTGACTCAAATGGGGCCTGCGTGTTGTGCAGTCCCGCCTTAATCTGTGTACTCATGCCCCTCAGTGTGAAAGAAGCTATTTGCATATATTTGCATGTCTATGCAACCACACTTAAGTTGCAGCCTTCGGCATGTGTTGTGACTATCACGGTGGCCCCCGGGGCTTCCAAAGTTGAGTAGCCCTGACCTAGAAACTACAAGTCCCAGCATGCAGTGCACTGCCTAGAACACTGAATGCTGGGCGCTGGCCGGACACCCCTGTGTTGTTATGGTCTAGCTACAGAGAATAGCTATTAACGGTTCAGGGCAGAACAAGCGGGGCTCTGCAGGGTCCGTTTTGGACCCGGTTCTGTTCAGTATCTTCATCAACGATTTAGATATTGGCACAGAGAGGACGCTTTTTAAGTTTGCAGATGATCCCAAGCTGGGAGGGGTTGTGAGTGCTTTGGAGGATGGGTCAGAATTCAAAATGACCTGGACAAACTGGAGAAACGGTCTGAGGTGACCAGGATGAAGTTTAATAAGGACAAATGCAAAGTGCTCCACTTAGGGAGGAACAAGCAGTTTCTCACGCACAGAATGGGCAACGACCGTCTAGGAAGGAGTCCTGCACAAAGGGATTTAGAAGTCCGAGCGGACCACAAGCTAAAGATGAGTCGACAATGTGATACTGTGGCAAAAACAGCAAACATGATTCTGGGATGCATCTGTAACCACCAACAGGCGGAATGGAACCTGGGACCTCTGAAGCAGAGTATAGGAGCCTCTACCTTCTGAGCTGAAAGCCAGCTGGCTCCCAGCCTGTGCTGTAGAGGTCTCTTGGTCTTAACTGCTGCTGTGGGCTAGGCACCACTTGCACTGCTCAGTAACACACTAGGTGTGTGGGTTACACATTAACAGGAGTGTTGTGCGCCAGACAGGAGAAGTCATTCTTCCATTCTACTCTGTACTGCACTACTTAGGCCTCAGTTGGAGCGCTGTGTCCAGTTCTGGGCACCACATTTCAAGAAGATGCAGAGAAACTGGAGAAGGTCCAAAGAGCAATACAAATGACAAAAGATCTAGAGAACATGAGCGATGAGGGAAGACTGAAGGAACTGGGCCTGCTTAGTTTGGTAAAGAGAAGACAGAGGGGACATGAGAGCAGCGCTCAAGTACCTAAAAGGGTGTCACAAGGAGGAGGAAGAAAACTTGTTCTCCTTGGCTTCTGAGGACAGGACAAGCAGCAATGGGCTTAAACTGCAGCCAGGGAGGTTTAGGTCGGATATTAGGAAAAACTTCCTGTCGGGGTGGTGAAACACGGGAATAAATTGCCCAGGCAGGTTGTGGAGTCTCCATCTCTGGAGATATGTAAGAGCAGGCTGGACAGACCCGTCAGGGATGGTCTAGATGGTCCTGCCGTGAGGGCCGGGCCTGGACTTGATGCCTCACGAGGTCCCTTCCCGGTCTAGGATTCTGAGAGTCCATGATTAGAAAGGCACCTGGTGATGAGGGGCCCCCCTCAGAGCAGTGCTTGGCCTGTGGCCTGCTGGCTGGGGCGACAGGCTGCCACTCACCCCACCTTCTTCTTGTGGCCAGCGAACTCGCGGGCGTAGGAGAGCGCCCTCTCGCCGAACACGAACTGCTCCTCCACCATGGTGGAGCCCATGGCATTCTCCGACATGTAGGTGCGCAGGGTGAAGGGCGACGAGGCCAGGCCCAGGAACCAGCCCAGCCCCGCCAGGTAGCTGAGGATGCTGCAGACAGGAGACACCAGGGTGAAACCCCACGAGACAAGGGGCCAGGTCGCACGGGGGGGCCAGGAGCAGAGAACTGGGGGGTCATGGCTCTACCCCCAGCAGTGCTCCCTGGGGACAAGGGGGGAGCAGCAGACACCTGCCCACGGGGCCCGGCGGGGGGGCGCACTCACCAGAGCGGGGT